ATTAGTCGAATTAAACAATATCATTACTTCTAATGTATTCTATTCTCGAATGTTAATTATCTTTGTTTTTAATTAGCTCAACGAACACAATCGTCTACTATCTTTGGTATTCAACCTGCATTCGATCGTAAAGATAGTGATAATACATCAACGAGTATATCAACTGAAAAATTAACTAAACCAGTACAACAAATTTTAGAAAAAAAACCTGTTAATATATTACCAAAACAAGTATCAAATACAAGATCTTGGTCTGATGATACAATAACAACACCAATTGAACAAATAAAAAAATCTGAACGACATAGTGAAACATGGGATTCATCAACATCTGATGATGATAATTTAGCTATATCTAAACCACAACATGTATCAAATATTTTACAAAAAACACTTCCATTTTCATTATCAAAAGATGATTTAAATGAATCTGATAGTGATAATAATTCAGTTGATACTGAAATTCGAAATTTTAATATAACTAAACCATCAAATGAAACAACAATTCAAAAATTAGTTAATACTAAAATTGGAGATGGTTATAAAGTTATTGGACCAACAAAAATTCAATCACCTGTAAGTGAAGATTCATCATGGACAACAACATCTGCCAAAATTAATAAAGAACCAATAATACCAACAACAACAACAAATACAAAAGGTATTGTAAATTTAGTACAACAAATGAAAACAGATGAATCAACATGGGATGATTCTCAAACATTAAGTCATAATTTAAAACAATCAAAAGATTTATCTCAAATACAAACAAAAGGAGTTGAAAATCTCATAAAACAAATAAAAACAGATGAATCAACATGGGATGATTCTCATCTATTAAGTCATAGTTTAAAACAATCAAAAGATTCATCTAAAATACAAACAAAAGGAATTGAAAATTTAGTCAAAATTATGGATACAATTGTACAAACAAAATCATCAAATCGGTAAATATAAAAATGGATTAACGATTTAACATATGATCGAAATTTTCTTTTTTTTCCCACTCATTAGTAAGTATTTCCGACAAGTAAAATTTCAATTGTTAGATGTACATTCGAACCATCAAAATGAAAGATCTACAAGCATAAAATTTTTTTAGATTTATTAATTCAAGAGTCATAGATATTCTAGTCAATTTTCCAAGCAATTGATGTTTTTCTCCAGTTAAAAGGAATCACTAAATCAGTGCTAGTTGATTAGTATAAAATTGGAACTGATGCATAATTATCTATTGTATGCCGACATTTCTAGTGAACATATTTATTCATTTTGGCCTGCTTGAAAGTATTTGAACCGAGCTGAAGACTATAGCTTGCAACGAGAATGATGAGCCAATATGTTTTTATTTACCCTATGTCTCTTTTTTGAACATGCCAAAAAATTGTTGAAGCATATTGTGCTCAGTCGTAGGAATTCAATAGACTAGAATACCCTTAAAAGAGGTTCGTGTCGACGTTAAGATTACATCAAGATATTGACTTTTTAGTGAATTTCTTCTGTATGGATTCGATTTTTCGATAAAATCCTATTGTCGAGTTTTGTCTAGATGAAGGAAAGAATCAAGCAGTTTAGCATTGATCCCGTGTAAAACATGCATATTTTGGAAACTACTATATCTCAGAGGCATTCGATCGAAAACTTCTCAAATTTTGTGCATAAGCTAGTCTTACTGAGACCTTCATCTAGGCAACATTGTCAACTCAAAACTCGACAATAGAATTTTATCAAAAAGTTAAGTCTATACAGGGAACATCCACTAAAAAGTCGATATCCCAGTCAAATCTTAACATCAGTATGAAACCTTTGGAATCTGTTTTAATCTATAGGTTCCCTACCACTGAGCAAAAGGATGCGCTCAACAACTTTTAATCATCTCTTGAGATCGTCCCTCGTAAGTAAAGCTAGAAGCATGTTTTTAAGAGCTCCTTTTAACATAAAACGGTTCTTGATTTTTATAATTGAAGTATCTTGCCAAAAGACAAAAAATTATGCATTGTGTATGGTTGCTTTTAATCTGAAAGTTGTTATATAAATAAAGATCCTTATTCTTAATTTTGAATTACAATAGTAAAAATACAAAAATTAAGACAATAATTTCTAATCTCATATTCGAAAAGAACAACCTAAACGCATAGTTTTTGATTTATTGGAAATACTTCAAAAGTAAACAAATATTTGCCAAAAAACGTCTCGATCGTTCGTTATTTGTTTTGTTTTATTATCTAAAGACCAACATCGTCGAATATAATTGGTAAACTCATTACGACTTCAATGTTTGAACGTCCTGATTCAACAGCATCACAAAGTACTTTACATGAAATAGATAATGATGAAGATTATGAACGTAGGAATACTTTTTCTTTTCTCTTATTGTCTATATAAAGTTTTTTTTTTTTTTGTAGAAAGTTGGAAAAAGAAGACTGAACAAGTACCTGTATCATCGATGAAGGATCATGCTTCTAAAAAAATACCACATTCATCATTACCATATGATACTAATAATTTACGTGGTTCAATATCATCAACAAAATCATCGTTTAGTGATGTATTACGAGAAAAATGTCATTTTGTTTTGTTTTTTCAAAATATTTTCTTTTAGTTACAAATCAATGAATTAAAAGAAAATATTAAAAAACTTGAACGTAATCAAGAAGATACACAAGAATTAAAACGACAATTAAAAGATATGGAAAATAAAAAAAATAATTTCGAAAAATTATATAAAGAAAATGATCAAATGTTACGACATATTGAAAATAAATTAGAACAAGAAAAAACTGAAAAACAACGTTTAGAATGGACAACAAACAATTTAAATACAGAATTACAAAATATTAAACAAAAACTTCAATTATTAGAAGATGAAAAAGATTTATTAAATCAACGTTGTAATACATTAAAAGAGGAACGAGATAAACATGGTAAATATTCAATTAATATTTCATTTCTCGGAATATTTCAAAATTACTTGATTTGATAGCAATGCATTTAATAGGAAGATACGAAATTGAAACTTCGATAGATTATCAACATAAAAATAAATGATTAAATTTTAAAACTTATAACTAGAAATTAAATCTATAGTTGCTTCAAATCTTGACGAAATCGCCAAGAGTGAAATAACGAGTTGAAGATAAGAAAAGTAATGACTAGATGAACTGATTCATTATTTCAGCTTCTGTAGTTCTGACATGATTTGAGGCAATTAGTGATTTAATTTCTAGTTATAAATTTTCTTATGTTAATAATCTATCGAGGTTTCAATATTGATATACTGTTTATTAGCTTTATATAAAATTATATTTATAAATACCAACTGTATGAAAACTACCAGATGTTCTTCTTCCTCACGAGGAAACATTGCTATATGTGATCCTTTACTTTTGAGCTCTTCTATTTACTAATGAGTAGAGGACCATTAGTTATGAATAATTTAGTTCTGAATCCAAAATAAATCTTTTTGCTCATGAAACTTGACGTTTAATTGACAAAGATTTTATTTAATATTTTATCTATCAATGTCGTATTACTGTTGGTTGATTGTTAGTATATCGACAATTTTTGTTGGGTTCGAATCAGAAGAGTAGCATAGGATTGGAATAGTAGTATTGTTGATTTTATCCCTTCCTGGATGAGGAAAATCTAAATATAACACTACTGCATTATTCAAATAAACTGTTCGAATCGATTAGATTTTGAAATCAAAAATATAAATTGAATCTTTCTTATTTCTGTTTAGATGAAAAATTACGTATATTACACGCAAATAATCTACCAACAACAATAAAAAGTTCATATCATGATGATGATAATATTGATAAAATACAATCTCGACATCGTGAAGAATTAAAATTATTATCAGCTGAAAATGATGATTTACATAATCGTACAAAACAATTAGAATCTGATTTAGACTTACATAAAGAATCACTTGATGTTACTGTACATTATAAAATTAAATTAGAAAAAGCTTTAGAAGAAAAAACATTTTATCAACATGAATTAGATCGTTTAAAACATGAAAAAAATCTTATTGAACAAGAAAAATTTGAATATAAAACAAAATATAATAGTTTACAAGATGAAATACGTATTATACTTTTAGATCGTTCAAAACTTGAACAAAATTTAACAAGTGAATTACATGAACATATACAAGAAAAACATCGAACAACAAATGATCAACAAAAATATCGAATAGAAATTGAACAATTAAATATGAAATTAAATGATGCTGAAACACGTTTACATTTATTACAAACACAAAATGAAACATTATTAATATCAAAAGATCAAGATATAAAAAATGAATATGAAACACTTTCACAACGTCTACAACAAATTGAATCAAATAAATTAAATGCTGAACAACATTATCATAATCAACATAATGAAATAACAAATAAACAACAAATTTTAAATCAACCATCTCTTACTCATACATCAAATAATCAAGATAAACATTCACAGTAAGAATCATTCAATAGAAAACAAACGATTCGTCTAGTATAAACAGGGAGAAAAAAAAAACTAAAAATTAAAATTCGAATTTTTGTTTTGTAATTTTCAATAAATAAAATCTATTCATATTTAGTTCTTTATCATCATGTCAAAATTGTAATACATTTCAACGATATTATGAACAAGAACGTGAATATCGTTTACAAACTGAAAAAGATAATGAACGTTTACGTGATACAGTTTCATATCAAAAACAATATCAATATTTAAATAAACCATTTTTATTACAACAACAAAATAATGAAAATTATTTAGTTGAAAATTCAAAAAAAATTCGTAATGATACAGATCGTGTTAAATCAGAACTTAATCGTTTACGTCAAGATTTTGATAAATTAATTTCAAATTATGATCCAATAAATAATTTTCAACAACAACAACAACAAACACAATTAAATTCACAAATTGATATATTTCGTCAATTTTATGAAAATGATTTTCGACAACGACAATTACTTATGTCAAAATTAATACCAACACTTAAATCATCATTAACACAAAATTATCATAAATTATCATCACCAAATTTAAATCATAATCATTCATTTAATGAAACTAGTACAACATATACAAATAATCGTTTACTTAGTGAACGACTTGATAAAGCTATTCATACAAGTTTAGCTGATCAACGTTTATTAAATATAAAACAAATTCCTGCTTTACCACGACAAGCTTCATCATTATTAACAATAAATACTATTAATAATAATAATAATAATAATAGTCTCATTTCGCCTTATGAATTTTTACGTGAACGTTATCATGTTTGAATTTTAAAATGAAGAACAGTGAAATTTTGTTTTTCTTTTTTTATCTCTCTCTCTCTCTCTAACTGATAGTGTTTGATGGTGCTTTGTTTTGTTTTTCTCCACTCACTTATTAAAATAAACAAATATATATATATATATATTCTTTCAGATCTATTAATGGATGGTGCTGGTAGTATAACATTTTGGGGTTATAGTCCTAGTCTTTGTCTAACAAAATATATTGATAAACAATCAGAAGAATTACCTCTTCGACTATTATTAATTGGTAATGGTGATATTCGTCATATATTTCATACATTAGCATTAACAACATCACCAATACATATTTATATACTTGAATCTCAATTAGAAATTTATGCACGTCATTTACTTTTTCTTCAATTAATATTTACATCAATTAATCAAATAGGTTTACAAGAAAAATGTGAACATTATCTTGAATTATTTGCTAATTTACATATTAATACACATACAGAACAATATTTAAAACAAGCATCTACACAACTTATTCAACATATAACAAATATAAATGGAGAATTTCAATTTGCATCTAATGTAACAATTGATACAACATTATTAAAATATAAAGAAAAAGATTTTCTTGAAGGTATATTTCAATTTTGGCGAACATTATCTACTAAACAACCATTTCCAGCTGAATTAGCTTGGGATGGTCGTGTTCGACAATATTTAGGTATGTATAATACAAAGAAAAAAAACAAATCAGACAGTTTACTATACCGTATTACCTCTAATTTAAATCACACGAGAATATATTTTATACAGTGCGAAGCACTATATAGTAATTTACCGTGTGAAGTACTATATATAGTTTCTGGTATCAATTGCTGTACATTAGTTTAACGGGTAATTATTTTTTTAAGTCTACCAAAAGTGACAGAATGGAATCATATTCGATATTCTCTGAAGCTGTTGATACGTCTTAGTCATCTATACTATTATCTGTTTCAAAATACAAGAGAGATGAGTGTTTTTGAAATAATTTTTGGTAGGAACTAGATAGAGATCTGCAATTGTCACCGTTTAAAAGAAGCGATGAAACTGCATCGAATTGGCTAATTACATAGATTGTTGAGCTTTCATTAATGATCCCAACGCACTATTGAAAACTTAAATTCTAAAACTTTTATATTACGCAATGCTTTATTGTTAAGAAACTTGCCAGAAAAAATTTGGTATCGTTAATTCGATGCAGTTTCATCGTCTCTTTTAAACAGTGAAAACCGCAGATCTCTATCTAATTCCTATCAAAAAATATTCCAAAAATATTCATCCTTCTTTTATTTTGAAACGGATAATAGTTACAGAGCTCAAAGCAATTCCGGTTACGAAATAAATTTTTTATGAGAGATGATGTTGCAAAAATATTCATTAGTAAAATATATTCTAACATTGTTATCTTCTCAGTTAATTTAAATTTCAATAGAAAACACTTTGTTACAAAGTTTCGTTCGCTTTCAATTCACTCTACAAAATGACGATTGTGAAGCGAGAACACTCTGTTGACTATTAAGACCAAAATTTTTTTCATAAAAGAAAAGAAACATTTTTTTTTTGCTGAACTTATCTTTAAAATAAAAACTTTATTTAAATTTTAAAGGAACACGTTTTGATACTCGTCGTAATGCTTTTGATTGGGATTTACATATGAAATTATATGAACGAGGTTTTAAACGTTTAAATGTTCATGAATATGGTGATTGGCGTGAAAATGGTCTTGCTTTTCGTTTAACACATCAAGATTATACACAACCAAATCGAACACTTGCTTCTGCATTTGTTTTTCAAAATTCTGATGGTACTAAACAAGCTCGTCGTGGTTATTGGGGTGATATTATAACTGGACCATTTCTTTCACATGGTCTATTACCTATTGATAATGATGATTCACAAATGCAAGCAAAAGCTAATGATAAATATATTAAAACAGCTACAGATGTATCTGAATATAATGTTCTTAAACTTTTAAGTCATCTTCAAGAACAAAATAATCAAATTAAAATTATTCTATTACCATTAAATAGTATATCAGATTTATGTACTGCTAGTAAAGAACGATATCATCATCTTCAATTTGATTTAATTTATATTGGTTGTAGTTTAACACATTATCTTAATGAACAAGGTGAAAATTTTTCATCATTAATTATGTCAAAAAATTCAACATTAATATTAGAATTACCAACATTTCTTCTTGATCTTAAAAAAGATCAACTTGAACAATTAGAAAAACGTTATGATGATATGGCAAAAAATATTGGTTGTATAGTACAAGATAATGAAGAACTTAAAACGAATGCTTTTAAAATTTATAAATATAATCGTTCATAAGTATTCAATAAAATTATGAAATTTTTGTTAACAAATAAATAAACTTTCTACCAATAATTTATAAGTACAATTCGAGAAAGGTCAACACGAAAAAAAAATTTGATTATATCTTGAATCCGGTTGGAGTTATTTCAATTTTCCTGTATGAAAATGATGTTTTGAGGAAAAAAAAGCTAAAGAAGTTTTAAAATTGGACTTTTTCATTCAAATTCAGAAAAAAAAATCATATTACAATTACATTTTTTTAATACATTTCAGTAGACCGTTTTAAATTCTGAGGGGCTCCTTCACCGGTGTGTGTAATATATCAATTGCTTCAGTAAAAAGTAAAGCCAGTTGGATCCGGGTCCGAAAATTTTGGACTCGATAGACTCTAATAAAGACTCAGTTCTACGAAGACATACAATATAAAACTTATATAATTCTAAGTAGTGTCAAACTTGAAACTTGAATTCAATTGAATTTTCAAGTTTTGAGTGAGTTTTCAATTTTCAACTTTCAAGTTTCAAGTTTTACATATATGCATCATATGATCTCAAAGTGATTTCATTCAGATTTTCTCTCACGCAGGAATGATTTTAAACTTCAAAAGAGTCAATTCATTCTTCTAATGAGCACTGCTAATACCGTATAAAATATTGAAACTTACTATACTTTGATGTAATGATAAGACCAGTTTTCTTACACTTGACATTTTATTTCTGACTTTACCATGGTTTACTTCAGCAATTGTTCGTTCATTCTCAACCATTATTGTTTTTTTACGACCTTCATGTACATTTGAATGTATTTGATTGAGTTCAAGACAAACAGCTAAATATATATATATAAAAAATGAAAAGAAATTTTTTAAAAGTATGTAAAAAATTTTACTATTACCACGAAAATTAGTTGTTGTATTCTTGTTTTCCTTTCCCTACAATAATTAATGAATATATATATTTTTTTTATTTTTTTTTCTCTTCAATGACTTTAACCTCATTATGATTGTTTGATTTTTTTAAATGTTGTTGTTGTTGTTGTTGATTAATAGAATAATTTTCTAATGGTCCTCCTTCCATAATATTAAAATGTACTAGATTATTACTTCAACTAAAATGAAGATAGAAAATTTATTCGAGAAAAATACAGTCCACGAAAATTTCAATTATAGCCTTTGATTTATTTGTTTTTTATTACTATACGTTTTTATCTATTGATCTACTATATATAGGGAGAAAGTCCAGAACCCGTTGCATCTCTTAGTATATTTACGTTGAAAAACAAATGTAATTTAAAGTATAAAAAGTGTATTAGAAGAAAAAGACGTTTTTTTTTATCGCCAAAACTGGGTGTCCATATTGTTGTAACATTTTTTTATGTTGCATATATCTCGGCTTAAGTAAATGATAAAACGTTAAATTTTTTTTCAAAAGATGTGCTGTGAAAAGCTCAGGAAAAGTGAATTCAATCATATAGCTTTTGTAGAGCTTTTTATGGCGCATCCTTTGAAAAAAATTTAACGTTTTATCGTTTACCTAAACCGAGATATATGCCAAATAAAAAATGTTATAACATCATGGACACTATGGAATTAAAAAAAAGATCCTTTTTCTTCTAATACACTATACTTTAAACTGCATTTCATGTTCAATGTAAATATACGAAAAAGATGCAGCGACTTCTGGGCTTTCTTCCTATATATAGTATGCTAATAGATAAAAAGGAATAATAATAAAAAAAAAGTTAAAGAGTATAATTGAAATTTTCCTCGACTGTACATATGACAATGGTGTATTCTCAATTTTTGGAGGTGAAGGAGAGATTTTCGTATCAACTCTATTTCTAGCTTTCATAAATAATTGTTCTACCATTCTATTGCAGACTAAACGTGTTATGAATGGAATGGTTAGAGAGTTTATAAACAGAGAATGTCCTTTGTTTTGTCGAAGTATACACACGACGGACGTATATTCGTCATTTAGAACATTGGTCATTAAACGTTTGAAATGACCTAGTTATAGATATCGCTACTACCCTATATAGTATTTCTTTAAAATCTTATCTAATAGAAAATATCGATCACCAATGAGTCATTCGATTGCCGATTGGTTTCATATATTGATTTCTTCGGTATTGTCTGAGAAATAAATAATGCGAGAAAAATTTTTACGATTCTATCACATATACGACTTTCGATTTTTTTTCTATGAAGATCTTAGATGATATCGAAAGTCGAATTAAAATTCATACAATAAAATTTTATTATTAGACCAGACAAAGAAATATATGAGTGAATTGCGCTGGGATTGTACGATTTGAAGAAAAAAACGAAAAAAATAAAAGTGAATATGAAGCAAATTTGAATCGGGCATTCGATAGAGCTCTATTAGTTGTGTATAAATCAAATATTTTCCCAACTGTCAGTTTTTTCATTTCAGAAAAAAAATTGAGTTTTATTAAAAAATGCATAATTTCCAAGATCTCTTGACATAACAAAATAAATAATTTTAGAAATATTTTGACAAAATGAAATCACGAAATGACAGTTAATATATTGTTATTATATATTAATCGAAAGCTTCTGAAAAGGAGAATCTAATGAGCATATGCAGAACTTTGTCGGGACACATACATGCCTATAATAAGAGCGTAAAGGTGCAGATGACATCCTCACCATCATCCCTTCCCTCTTATTTTTAGTTTTTTATTTGATTTAGAAGGTCTTTAGAAAAAAAAATTTTTATCGAAAGATTTCTTCCTCTTTAGTCTATCGAACAGAAAAATAAAATTTGAATTTGCTTTTAAATCGGGCTTAGTAGATTGAATTTAATCTGTCGGGACATTTTTCGAGTAAAATACTATTTTCTCATGAACAGTACGTGCTTAAGAGCTAAAATTTTTACCACAGATTTATCATATAGTCAGCTAAAAAGGATAGAAAATTCATGGCCTTAGCTCTTATAGTTACCGAGAAATCAAAGAAACAAAATTCAAAATCTGTCGGCACATTTAGCAAAAAAACAATACCCCTACCGTCTTATTTTTAGTTTTTTATTTGATCCATAAGGTCGTTAGAAAAAAAAATTTTTATCAAAAGATTTCTCACTCTTTACTCTACCGAAGAGTAAAAAAAAATTGGCGTTTGCTTTTGCATTGGCTTCAGTAGATTGAATTTAATCTGTCGGGACATAAACTGGTCAAAGTGTACGTTTAGCTAGTCTTTGCAAGATTTGATCAGAAAATCAAAACCAAAGCTGTGATCAATTTATATGATGAGGAAGAGGAAAGTCTTAGCTACAAAATGGTTATAATAAATTATTTTTATGTATTCAAAATTGTAGGACAGTAAGAGTAATTTTCATCGATGGGTGGGCCCAAAAAGCACTCATTTTGACCTTTCTTGCTTGAAAATTCCATACCTATGATAGTCAAACGCCTCGATAGTTTTACGGTAAGTAGGACAGAGCCTAAGGAGTATTTCAAAAAAAAAA